AAAAAAAAAAAAAAAAAAACAGGCTGAACAGAGGCTTTCATGGTGCTCAAGTATTATGCTAAATAACCACTTGATTAAATAAGTACTTAATGAAAGCAGGTTACAGCTGATGTTGCCAGACTGACAGCATCCCTCATAGAACTTGGGGGCTGTTGAGGACACGAGACAGCCAAAATGGGAACACTGGAGTTGTCCAAGCTTTAAGTGCCCGAGTAAGTAACTGCTGCCACTGGCTATGGCCAAAGATCCTGTATCCTAGAGCTTCTCTGAAACTAATGAAGCCTTGCTGCCTGAATGCTGTTAGTCTTGATCAAAACTCCAAACTAATGAAGCCTTGCTATATAAGAGTGTTATTACATTTAATCAGAAATCCATACTTGGACAAATGTAACGTTGTTGTTGTCATCAGAACTAGCGATAACTAGGAAATTCAATAAAACAAAGCTTCCTTAAAAAAAAAAAGAGAGAAAAAGCTGCTGTGTTAAATAGTTTATTCTAAGCAGTATAGTTTTTAGCCAAATTGAAAGGAATTACTAGTTATTTTCCTGCAGCCCTGTTCTGCCAGGGCAAACTGAAAAAAAAATAATTTGAGTTAAAATCTAGAATTTCGATAAATACTGTGGACACTCTATACCAGCAAACACTGGTGAAGATAATACAAGCGCTCAGACATATAGCTTATAAATAAAACTCACTCTTTAGTGACATTTCTAACAGAAGTTAAATCTTGAATCAGTAGCATTGGCCTCCTAATAAAACTAGACGTTTGTCCATCTGCGAGGATGCAGCAGCGTTCAGTGACATTAAGCAGTTAAGTTTGAAACAAACAAACTTAAGACATTGAGTTTGTAGAGGTATTTTAAACTTTTTTTTTCCTCTAGAGGCGACTGTTCTGGAGTAAATTATTGAATTCTGAATTGCTTTTTGGAAGTTACTTTGCTATATATTTAAGCAGGATTCTACCTGTTTATGTAGTTGGCCGAAAGGAGAAGTGAAGTTTACTCTGCTGTGCTTGTGAATGTGCCTAGAAGGACACATTCTAGTCGGGACCTGCATCTTGCCTTCTGGGATGT